TGAGGAAGCCAGAGCGAAAAAGAAGAGGATCCGTTGCAATCTCTCCTCATTTTTACTATTAATTTGCATAATTTTACTTTTTTGCTCGCGGTCTAAGGGTGGATTCATTGGCAGCATACGCGTATAGCTGTCGCTCTTTCCCGCTGGAATTTTCATTATTTTTGAGCTTCGAAAACAATAAAAAAAATTCACGATGAATTCTATGGTTGGCCATCCGTTTCAAAATTATGACATCGTGTACGTGGGCTTTTTTGCCGCGTACAATCGTTTATAATCGCTATGTATGGGCTTTTATCCCATATACAACCATTTATATCGCGTATATACGCGTATTTAATACTCGTATATGTGCAAAATCAAATGCACGTCTATACGCGTTGCTAAAAACCCGTATATATGCGTACCTGTCAAAGCCCACGTATACGCGTGCAAAAATGTGCATATACGCGGGGTTCAGAAATCAGACTTGGTATAAGATGGAACGATAAGTGCCTCTAACGAAATAGGTTTCATGTATCCTGGCAATGAAAAGTGCCTTTCGCAATGCAAACATGGCTTCCTCTCTAGCTCTTGTAGTGATATGTATCTTGTCAACTAGTTCTTACAGGTCTCCCACAACGGATCTTCTGGAGACCGTTTCTCGTCTATTAAGGGATTGCTCCAGGTTTTATCCACACGCTGATCGAAACATGGCTGAAAACTTGGTAGTCCGCCTTCAGGTAGCTGTCGATTCAGTTCGTCGTTTGGTAGAGTCGTTGGACCCAGACGATCAAGGAAATGATGTCAGAATACCAGAGCTTGAATCACTGTTGAGGCAACTTCAATACTTATTAAACAGATGGGAGATGCTGGCAATAAGAGCAAGTTCTTGCACGACAGTTCGCCCCATAAGGACTTTGCCAGGTTTGTCAGGTCCTATAAATCAAAGAGCGGGTTGTCCGGCCTACGAAATTTCTACACATCAGTTGGAGTTTCTAAGAAACAGAATGAGATTTAATTGGTCCCACATATCAAGAATGTTATTAGTTTCTAGAACTACTCTTTGGCGAAGAATTAGACACCTGGAGTCATTTTCCAGTCAACATCATTATACAGCCATCACGGATTCAGATTTAGATGAATTAATTCGAGGTTTAAGACAAGGATTTCCAAATTCTGGTATCAGTATGATGCTGGGACATTTGCGAAGTAGAAATATTTTTGTGCAGCGTCAGCGTGTTAGGGAAAGTTTGGTTCGAACTGACCCTGCAGGGAGTGCAATGAGGTGGTTTAACACTATCACAAGGCGTGTTTACAGTGTCCGAGGACCTAATTCTCTCTGGCACATTGATAGACTGCATTGTCTCATCCGTTGGAGGTTCGTCATACATGGAGGTATCGTTGGGTTTTCCAGACTTGTAGTGTATTTAAGTTGTGCTACAAATAATTATGCCTCGACTGTGCTTGCCCTCTTCTTAGTAGCTGTGCAGAGATATGGATGGCCCTCTAGAGTACGTTCAGACAAAGGGGGTGAAAATCTAGACGTAGCAAGAGCTATGCTAAGGCACAGAGGGTTGAACAGGGGAAGCATGATTGCTGGACTCTCTGTACACAATCAAAGGATTGAGCAACTGTGGAGAGATGTCTTTATAGGAGTTGGTCACTTCTTCTACACTCTGTTTTACCAATGGAAGAAAATGGTATCCTGGAATCAACAAGTGTCAAAGATCTGTTCTGTTTACATTACATATTTCTTCCAAGAATAAACCACCAGTTAAATCTCCTAGTTGAAGCATGGAATAATCATCCTGTACGCACAGAAGGTCATTGAACTCCTTGCCAAATCTGGGTAAATGGTGTTATTTCACAAGATAATTCTGGGAATACTGCAGTCAGGGACATATTTGATGACAACAGCCAGCCAGATGAGTTATATGGTGAAGATCCAACAGGAGCTGCACCAAATGAGTTTGACCTGGGTAGTGTTGATGTACCAGATACAAACATTCCATTAACTGACACAGAACTTGGAGCTATTTCTCATATTCAACCTCTGTCAGTGAGTAATAACTATGGGGTGGATCTCTACTTGGAAACTCGGCAACTTATTTTGGCACTTATGCAAGCACACCAGAATATTAAGGTACATCATGTCATGTTAAAATCAAAACCAAAATAACAAATGGAAACATGTATGCTGTACATGTAGTGAATAGGCCTCTCACAAAGAATTATAAACAATTATTGGATGAGGTTTTTGTGTTTATTACATTCGGTTTTTGTAATATCTGAAATAATCGAGGTCTTAGGTGTTATCAGCTGAAGCCAATTACATTTTCCTTGCCTTTGCTTATTCTGGTCATCACAAAAACCTCATCCAATAATTGTTTATAATTCTTTGTGAGAGGCCTATTCACTACATGTACAGCATACATGTTTCCATTTGTTATTTTGGTTTTGATTTTAACATGACATGATGTACCTTAATATTCTGGTGTGCTTGCATAAGTGCCAAAATAAGTTGCCGAGTTTCTAAGTAGAGATCCACCCCATAGTTATTACTCACTGACAGAGGTTGAATATGAGAAATAGCTCCAAGTTCTGTGTCAGTTAATGGAATGTTTGTATCTGGTACATCAACACTACCCAGGTCAAACTCATTTGGTGCAGCTCCTGTTGGATCTTCACCATATAACTCATCTGGCTGGCTGTTGTCATCAAATATGTCCCTGACTGCAGTATTCCCAGAATTATCTTGTGAAATAACACCATTTACCCAGATTTGGCAAGGAGTCCAATGACTTTCTGTGTGTACAGGATGATAATTCCATGCTTCAACTAGGAGATTTAACTGGTGGTTTATTCTTGGAAGAAATATGTAATGTAAACAGACCAGATCTATGACACTTGTTGATTCCAGGATACCATTTTCTTCCATTTGGTAAAACAGAGTGTAGAAGAAGTGACCAACTCCTATAAAGACATCTCTCCACAGTTGCTCAATCCTTTGATTGTGTACAGAGAGTCCAGCAATCATGCTTCCCCTGTTCAACCCTCTGTGCCTTAGCAAAGCTCTTGCTACGTCTAGATTTTCACCCCCTTTATCTGAACGTACTCTAGAGGGCCATCCATATCTCTGCACAGCTGCTAAGAAGAGGGCAAGCATAGTCGAGGCATAATTATTTGTAGCACAACTTAAATACACTATAAGTCTGGAAAACCCATCGATACCTCCATGTATGACGAACCTCCAACGGATGAGACAATGCAGTCCATCAATGTGCCAGAGAGAATTAGGTCCTCGGACACTGTAAACACGCCTTGTGATAGTGTTAAACCACCTCATTGCACTCCCTGCAGGGTCAGTTCGAACCAAACTTTCCCTAACACGCTGACGCTGCACAAAAATATTTCTACTTCGCAAATGTCCCAGCATCATACTGATACCAGAATTTGGAAATCCTTGTCTTAAACCTCGAATTAATTCATGTAAATCTGAATCCGTGATGGCTGTATAATAATGTCGACTGGAAAATGACTCCAGGTTTCTAATTCTTCGCCAAAGAGTAGTTCTAGAAACTAATAACATTCTTGATATGTGGGACCAATTAAATCTCATTCTGTTTCTTAGAAACTCCAACTGATGTGTAGAAATTTCGTAGGCCGGACAACCCGCTCTTTGATTTATAGGACCTGACAAACCTGGCAAAGTCCTTATGGGGCGAACTGTCGTGCAAGAACTTGCTCTTATTGCCAGCATCTCCCATCTGTTTAATAAGTATTGAAGTTGCCTCAACAGTGATTCAAGCTCTGGTATTCTGACATCATTTCCTTGATCGTCTGGGTCCAACGACTCTACCAAACGACGAACTGAATCGACAGCTACCTGAAGGCGGACTACCAAGTTTTCAGCCATGTTTCGATCGGCGTGTGGATAAAACCTGGAGCAATCCCTTAATAGACGAGAAACGGTCTCCAGAAGATCCGTTGTGGGAGAACTGTAAGAACTAGTTGACAAGATACATATCACTACAAGAACTAGAGAGGAAGCCATGTTTGCATTGCGAAAGGCACTTTTCATTGCCACGATACATGAAACCTATTTCGTTAGAGGCACTTTTCGTTCCATCTTATACCAAGGCTGATTTCTGAACCCCGCGTATATGCACGCGTATACGTGGGCTTTGACAGGTACGCATATATACGGGTTTTTAGCAACGCGTATAGACGTGCATTTGATTTTGCACATATACGCGTATTAAATACGCGTATATACGCGATATAAATGGTTGTATATGGGATAAAAGCCCATACATAGCGATTATAAACGATTATACGCGGCAAAAAGCCCACGTACACGATGTCATAATTTTGAAACGGATGGCCAACCATAGAATTCAGAGATTCACACATTAAGTGACCGTTTCGCTATACAGAAGGGAAACTGCGCAGGCAAATTGACCTAGGGCTATCCTTCGCATTCACGCTCCAAAAACATTTGGAAGCATCTGTAGGGTTCGTTTCCAAAGTAGATAGTAAAAGCAATCTAAAGAAAACGCCTAGCGGTCGCTTGTGATCAGTGACCGTGTGAATTGTTTACATTCTTCAACCTACCGCGAGCCCTACCCCAACTGGCCTCCCTCGCAGCCAGGAGCGTTGCGTGACACTAAAAACGGCTACGAGGGAGACTATACCCCAGCTGGACTCACTGTTAAAATAAAGCTTGATCGCCAACAAACGACGTGTGCATGTGCATTTCAGCAGCGAAGATTATCGATACATTTAATGCTCCAGCTTGAACAATGATACGTGACTTCTAATACTTATAAACCCCGTTTGGAGTCCTTCCAGCACAAAATTTGTGGCACCTCACGTCTTCTCACTTCTCCGTACTTTTCCCAGCTCTAGGTTCTTCAGAATCTCAAGATTTTTTGCCTCTTGGGCATTCTTGGGGGTTAGCAAGTCTGTGTTAATGAAAAATTGTTGATTCCTAGAGTTAGTTCAAATTAGACGCGGCAGACATGGAAAACAGTCCCGAGAAAGATACAGAACCTGGAAATATCACGGAACTTTTAAGTACAGGAAAACTTGATTTTGATGACGAAACTTTAAGAGGTAAGGGGAAATACCAAATTTGTTAAGTCGATTGACATATACCAATTGATGATTAAGTCTAAAATGAACAACATTAGGGGTATTTTTGATCAAAACCTTATGGTAATCCCAATTTTATTCTTGAATTCCGCTGCCCCTCTGTTGATTTACTTTTACCCACTGTGCGTGATTTCATACCAGTCTTGCTCGAAACATTAATAGAATGCCCTGGTCGCGGTGGAAATGTTTATGCAAAAGTCACCCATCTTCGAAAGAGGCCCATGTTCTAGACATTTTTTTACGATCGCTTCAAAATATCTAAAATTCGGGACATTTAATAGAACTTGGGTCAACTGAAGGAATAATGTTGACATGTTGTGCTCGACCTCCTTTTCCCTTTCCCCTCAATGTTGGCCTCGAACTTGGACAATTCCACCAAAAAAACCATTTCAAGACAACATTGGAAGAGAGAAAGACATGTATCGGAGCAGTGTGACCCAAGTTGAGCGTCAGAGATTGTAGTCTCCAACGCACAGGAGGAGCGTTGTGTGACGTAACAAAAACGGCTGCGATGGCCCATGTACGGCGTTTTCCAGGCCTCCTCCGTCAATTCGTTTCGGTGACATATCCGAGGCGAACGGGTGGGAAACGCCTAGATAAAAACAGAATTCGCATGCGTACGTTGCGTTTTGAAAACAGCGGACTTTCTTTCACTTCTTCGCTCGGACCACGTGACCCGAAACGCATGAGGCCTAGCAGGGGTGGCTTGGTGGCCTTCGCGCAGAGTCCTTTCCTTCTTTCCTTTTTTTCCCTGTGATCAACTGATTTTTATTTCCCCCTTTCAGCGATAGCGGAAGTTTACAAGAACGAAGGTAATAACGAATTTAATAAAGGAGAATTCGGAAACGCCAGATACTTCTACACGGAAGGGATTAGAGTGAAATGCGAAGATGACGAATTGACTGCTAAACTGTACAGCAACAGAGCAACAGCTAATTTTCGTCTTGGTGAGTTGTCTTGTTTCTAATCTCTCTCGTTTAAATGCATCGTCGCCGCGTACAGACCACAAGGAACAGCAAAAGAAGCCAACGTTTGTAATACGAACTACCCATTCTCCAATGATCCTTCGACTCATGACCGCCGCTCACGGACAGCGAATAACCAGAACACTAGTATCATTTTAGGTCATTGAATTTCAGTTACTCAAAAAAGTAAGAGCGCGTGACATCTTTCTTCTGTTAAAGTGCCCATCACCTAAAATTTAATATTTTCTTATCTGAAACTACACCTTATAAAAATAACTTCTGCGAAAAAATTTTGCGATTTAAACCAAAGACGATTTTTTTATAATTTTTTAAAAACGTTCAAATTTGCCGCCATTTTTGCACATCATTCGTCTTAGTCTTCTCTCGGAGTATGGCGTCATATGACGTACTTTAAGGAACACGAGACCTTATCGACAGGAAAACATTAAGAGTTCTGATAGGTTTTTCTTTTTCAGAAAAACTTTCTTCTTGCGAAGACATTGTGATTCAATCCTTACTTGTAATTTATCTTTTTTGTGTACCGCTGGGTAATGCGAGTTCCTTAATTTACGTCACATGACGTCATATGTGAGCCTGCTAGTTTGCATGATCAGCGGCGCGGGTGTACCGCAAAAATGTAGACTTCAAAAATTGGTAAAAAAATCGCGTTTTGTTCACACCGCAAAATTTTTTCGCAGAAGTTATTTTAATAAGGTATAGTTTCAGATAAGAAAATATAAAATTTTAGGTGATGGGCACTTTAAGGAAGACCTCTATCTGAAATTTTCTTACTTTCGGTTATTCCTGTTCCTCAAAACGCTACGTACATTATATTTTATTTTGTTTAGTGGGGTAAGCGTACAATGTTGTGTTTTATTCTATTTTTAAGTCCAACATCACTGTTCATTGCTTTTAAATTTATCTTTGACTACTAGTTATTGTTGAAATTATAGGCAATTACCACGAGTCAGTAAAAGATGCCAAAGCTGCCATAGAGTTGCAACCAACGTTCCTAAAAGCTATAACAAGAGGTTAGATTGGTACCTAAGCTTTGTGTAGAATCAATCCCAGGGCAGGGAAAAACTAGCTGGCCTAAAAATCGGACTGGGACATGGGGACGGGGACATCAGGACACGTTTACAAGGACTTGGGACTCGGTTACGCGAGGGACGAGATGTATGAGACGCGGAAACCCGAAATACAGGACGTGAGGACGCGAACAAAATTTTTTTCAGTTTCTGCAAAAGTCGGAGTGCTCTCTTCATTTTGTGGGATATTATTCATTATGAAATAAACACATCTTCCATTTAAATTTAACAGGTTTCTTGTAGTGACTAAAAATTGGCGGGAAACTCAATTTTTTCGAAACTTTGTTGATTTTATCTGTTTTTAGATCCTTGCGAAGAGGTCCCTATGACATAATTACTAGGCATCCGATAAAATATAACAAAAATTTGGCGCCAGAATTGGAAAAGTGCAAGTGAAGTGCCGGATCTTTCTAAGGCTTTCGACGTTATTGATCATGATCTACTCTTAGCAAAACTTAAGGCTTATGGTGTGGGAGAGAGAAGTTTTGTGCTCTTCAATTATTACTTGTCGGGAAGACAGCATAGAGTCAAGATGGGGGACACGTTTTCAAGCTGGAAAGGTGTTATAAAAGGGGTTCCGCAAGGAGGTGTCCTGGGGCCAGTGTTTTTCAATATTTTCATCAACGACTTGTTTTACTGGCTAACACAATGTAAACTACACGCATATGCCGACGATCATCAGTTATACTCTTCTAATACTGACCCAGTAGCCCTAGAGGACTGTATTTGTCGTGAAGAGTTGCAAACGAGTGGTATCGCAGCAATAGAATGATTGTAAATGAGACAAAACATCAGGCTATCGTCTTGGGAAGAACAGGCCACTCCTTCTCTTTACCATTAAAAGATTCTTTGGATATATTTGAAATAAATATTGACAATAGGCTGTGTTTCGATAATTATACATCAACTTTTTGTAAAAAGATAAATAGTCAGTTTAATGTGATGTTAAGATTTCGTAAACTCATCTCTAAAGATACTCTTTTAAGATTACATAAGGAAAGTGATGAGTTCTTCTCTGTTAAACGCGGTAATTGGGTTCAAAATGAAATTAGTATAGAGCGTTTTCACATGACATCACAGCGGCCATATTGGTGTATCAAATCAATCCTTTGGGAGTTGAACTCTTTTCTTATGTAAACACTTTTTGTTCCTATAAATTTTCAAAGATGCTGGCCACCTGAGCAAAAACGTTCTATTTACACTTTTATTGTCGGTCATTCTTCTCTTGCCTTTTAGCCTCTTTTTGTTAATGATATAAAAATAGGTAGGAAAGATTGTAGGACAACTATATCAGCAGGATATGAAACCAACGACAAACAAAACTTATTGCCGAGAGATATTTGGATGACTCTGCTAACATTCACATTGGTTTATTAGGAGCAAGTGCCTTTTTGGAGCTGGGTCTATATGAGGAAGCCATCGCCTGGTGTGACAAGGGATTAGCAGTATCCTTTTGCAAGATAGTCATGCATGTTACCGTGCCTTAATTATAAAGTATACCAACTGTCTTCCCTCCGTTACTGAAAAATATTTTTAAAATTAGCATGTTTTTTGCCTTTTTTACACCCAATAAGCATTACGTCCGCATTTAATGAAGACGGGGAGCAAGGGTGGCGCAGTGGTCAATGAACACTTTAATTTCAATAGGGTGCATAATCAGTACAGACCAACTGTACTCTCCCTTATGAGAGTACTCTCCTCCCACCAATGTGGCCAGCCAGTCAAATCATGGCGGCGACACCATATGTGGGTCAAGTTTGTTGTTGTTTCTCTCCCTTGCTCCGAGAGGTCTTTCTCCAGGTACTCCGGTTTTCCCGTCTCCTCAAAAACAACACTTCCAAATTCCAATTCGACCGGGAATCAGGTGGACGGAGAACCACTTAGTGGATGTGCTACTCTAAATCGCTATTTATTTTATTTATTAATGTATATTTATGACGGTGGCAAGCCATTAGATTGACATCTGCCGTTTTTACTAGACATACTATCTGTCTGTGACAGTCTTGGGAAAAAGTTTCCCAGAAAATATTAATGTGTCTGTTTGAACTATCTTGTGAAGTTCGTTATTAATTTTTCATGAGTTCGTCATGATTATTGCTTTTGAGTTTATTATTTATATTTTGGGGACGTCGTTTATATATAGGGTCAACCTTACGATTTTTCTTTTCTACTTTTTTTAAAATTGCTTTCTTATCTCTCGAATAAACCCATATTGTCATTGTGATTGTGATGAAAGACGCGGAACCCCCGAAAATATTGAGAAGGGAATACTGGCAGCAGTAAAGATACTGTGGTAGCACGTGTAACATAAAGAATTCTTTGGATACTTCTACGAATTCACGAGAATAGGCGGATGGTACGCAGTCTATAAAAAGGAAAATAGACTATAATTAAGGGTGGGGATGGTTATGCGTGCCAGTATAAGGCCTGACAAACGTAGATCTGATGTCAAGGCGAACTGTCTGCTGAACCACTGTCAACTGAACTAACGCATAGATAATAAGACCTGTCTTTAAACAAGACGCTTATAAAAGTTTTTACATTGTCTAGTGCAAACTTTCTTCAGCCTTATGCGATCTTCCTCCTTTCCTTCTGTCTGTCTGCCTGTCCATTTGTCTGTCTGTCTTTCTACCAGCCAGCCTGCCTGTGCGACGGTGTGTCGCTTCTTCTTGGCTTCTGGCTCGCAGTTCTTAACCTTCCTTTAGGAAACACTAGTTTTGATTTATCTTAACCTTTGAAAGATTAACAAGAGCAGTAAAACTCTGTTGGATTTACGGAACAAGTCTGTTGTTAAACACATGTTGCATGAGGTCAAGCAGGGAAAAGTAGAGAGTAATCAGAAATATGGCAAATCAATGAAATTCAGAACGAATGAAGAGGGTGGTTGCACTGGAATTGCCTATCGCAGCCGTGAAGAATTGAGAAAAGCCAAAGATTATCATGAGTACTGTCTAGAGATCGCCAAACGAGTTGGAGACAAGTTCAGTGAAGGACGAGAGTATTGCAATCTGGGCAACATATTTGCCGACATGGGAAATCTTCAGAAAGCTATTGATTACCATGATTGCAGTCTAAAACTTTGCAAAGAAATAAACCACAGGGCTAATGAAGGACGCTCGTATTGTAATCTTGGCTCCACTTTTAAAGATCTTGGGGATCTTAAGAGAGCCATAGAATTTCTTGAAATCTCCCTAGCAATAGCCGTAGAAGTAAAAGACAGTATTGAAGAGGCACGCGCATGTCATAATCTTGGCCAAACTCATTTTGCTCTTAAAGATTTTAAGAAAGCAATAGCTTTCTACCAACGATGTCTTAAAATTTCTAAAGACGTGGGAGACAAGTCTGGAGAAGGGCACACTTATGGTAATATTGGCAGTGTTCATTATAGCCTGGGGAATTTTACAAAGGCTTTAGAGTGCCACGAGCTCGCTCTTCACACTGCCAAAGAAGTGGGTGACATGTTTCTACAAGGACTCACGTATGGTAATATTGGTGCGGATTACAACGGCCTTGAACAGTTCAAAAAAGCCATTTTCTTTCTTGAAAGGAGTTTAATAATTTGCAAAGGAGTAGGAGACAGGCTTGCCGAAAGAAATGGCTATCTTAATCTTGGCAATGCATACACCAGTCTGGAAAATTTTGAAAAAGCCATGCACAATTACGAAAAATGTCTCAATCTTGTTAAAGAAGATGACTGTAAGTCTGCTGAAGCACAAGTGTACCGTAATCTTGGTTCCCTTTATAGTAAAAGAAAAGATTTTAAAAAAGCCTTTGACTATTTCGAATGCAGTCTAAAACTTGCAAAAGAAGTGCAAGACAGGTCTGACGAGGGACAGGCTTATTGTAATCTCGGCGAAACTTTTAACATTCTCGGAAATATAAAAAGGGCTGTTCATTACTATGAACTTTATCTACAAATAACTAAAGAAGATAATGACAGAGCAGGGCAAGCAAGAGCCTATGAAAGACTGGGCACCGCTTATCAAATTCTAAAAGATTTTCCCAAAGCTATAGAATACTTTGGACTCTCTTTACAGATTGATAAAGAAGCAACAAACAGCAGAGTTAAGGTAGATGTCCTTAATAATCTTGGAGTCTGTTACGACAATATGGGAAATTTTAAAAAAGCAAAAGAATGTCTAGAAGGTTGTCTTAAAATTTCGAGAGAACTGAAAGACAACTCTCTCATTGGAAAGTCTCATATCAACCTTGCCAATGCTTACTATAGCCTCGGTGATCTTAAGAAAGCTATAGAGTGCTATGAACATTCTCTGCAAATTGCCAAAGAATCAGATGACAGGTCAGGTGAGGGAAACGCCTATGGCAGCCTTGGCAATGCTTATTGCGCACTTGGGGATTACAAACATGCAATATGCTACTACGAACACTGTTTGGAGATTTCCAAAGAATTACGAGACAGGAATAAAGAGTCATGTGCTTATGCTGGCCTCAGCAACATTTTTGCCTGTCTTCAAGATTATGAAAGAGCCAAAGAATACAATGAGTTATTTTTGAGAATTGCAATAGAAGAAAAAGACATACGTCAACAAGGACTTGCTTATTGTAACCTCGGTGCTGACTGCTACAGCCTTGGAGAATTCAATGAAGCCATAGATTATCATAAACGAAGCCTTAAAATTGCAACAGAGATCAATGACAGGTCTGGAGAAGGAAGAGCATATGGAAATATTGGACTTTGTTATTGCGGTCTGGGTAATTATGAAAGAGGAATAGATTATATTAAGCGCAAGTTAGAAATTGCCAAAGAGGTGGGTGAGATGAAAGAAGTGGCATACGCGTATGCAAGCCTTGGACGTAACTTGGAATACTTAGGTTATCTCCAAGAGGCTAGTGAATGTTATATGTCCAGTGTCAAAGTATTTGATGCTATGAGAGCTTGTCTCCAGTCTAAGGATAAGTGGAAAGTCAGTTTTAGTGACAAACAAAACAAAATATACATTGATTTGTGCAAAGTGCTATTGAAATTAGACAGGTCTTTCGAGGCCCTTTGCACTGCTGAAAAAGGAAGAGCACAAGCCTTGAATGATCTTTTGAAATCTAATTTCCGAATTTGGACAGATATCAACGCAAAGTCAAGCTCTGAGGAAGAAACGATACAGGATTTTTTTCCAGGAATTCAATGCGAGGTGATTTTTCCATTCTTCCATGGAGACGCAATTTACCTCTGGGTGATCCAAGATCAAATAAATGTTAACAAAAGGGTGAAAGAAGTCAGCTGTGACTACACAAGAGAAAGTGTTGTCAGTTACGTTCAAAGCTTAGTTGAGAGTGCGCTTGAAGACGTTGGTGTGAACTTTGGCGTTTGCTGTGAAGATCGCTCATTATATAAACTAACAAAATCACCTGCTGACGAAAAGCGCTTCAATAAGACCCAGTCATATCCTTTGGAATCGCAACATTATCTCCTGAAAAGACTATACGATCTCTTTATTGCTCCTGTGGAAGACTTGATTACTGGCAATGAAATTGTGATTGTCCCTGAAGGTCCATTGTGCTATGCTCCTTTTGCTGCCTTCATGGATTCGAATTCAAAGTTTCTAAGTGACTCGTTCAGAATCCGAATGATACCATCGCTAACTAGTCTGAGATTGATCTTGGATTGTCCAGCAAATTACCACATTACGACTGGAGTACTGCTTGTGGGAGATCCGTGGGTTCAAGATATCACCGTCGATGATGGAGGAAAGCTAGATCAGCTACCTTACGCGAGAAAGGAAGTAGAGATGATCGGGAGAATACTCAAGGTTTCTCCCCTTACTGGTAAAGAAGCAACAAAGGACGAAGTACTAAAGAGACTTTCATCAGTTGCGTTAGTTCACATCGCAGCTCACGGTCGTATGGAAACAGGGGAAATTGCACTCTGTCCAAACCCTTCTCGAACATCCTTAGAGCCTGAAGATGAAGACTTCATCTTATCCATGAGCGATGTGTTAAATGTGAAGCTGAGAGCCAAACTAGTTGTGCTTAGTTGTTGTCACAGTGGTCGTGGAGAGATCAAGGCTGAGGGTGTGGTCGGTATTGCGCGAACTTTCATGGGTGCCGGTGCTCGTTCCGTGTTGGTGTCTCTGTGGGCCATTGATGATGAGGCTACCCTGGAGTTCATGAAAACGTTTTACCAGCACTTGGCAGAAGGAAAAGGTGCAAGTGAATCTCTAAACCGAGCTATGAAAAACATGAGAGAATCTGAGAGGTTCAGTGACGTGAAATACTGGGCGCCATTTGTACTTATTGGAGATGACGTCTCTTTGCAATTTGCCAAGAATGACTAGACTTCGTGCATAGTAAGTACAGCCATTTTTGTGTTAAATGTTTGATCGTAGTCTCTAGGAAGGGATTACTGCGAGTTTGTCACATCTATTACTCGCTTATGACGTCACTTTGAATCATTTGCATATGATATCATATATATCAGTCGGATATCTATCGCCTGGTTAGCTCAGTTGGAAGTGCGCCGGTCTGCTGACCGGGTTCAAACCCCGGCCGGACCAACCCTCAGGGTCTTTAAATAACTGAGAAGAAAGTGCTGCCTTTGTAATCTGCAAACGGTTAGACTTTCTAGTCTTCTCGGATTTCACTTATCTGGTTCTTATGGTATGTAACAGAACCCCCACCACTGTTCGAAAAGAGCAGGGAGCGTAGACCGCTGTTGTGGCCAACCTTTTTTGGGCTGGTTGGGTTATCTGTAAGGTGAGATTTTAATATAGGGATAACCCCATGATCCTCCTTCAGGTGTCATAATGGCTACTTGTAAACAGTGTATGTATGGTATGTCGTCACCTTTCTGTTAAGGTTTCAGTAAATGCCGATGCTTTATGACCAGGGTCATCTCCGATGGCATTGACATGCAGAGGCTAGTCTAAAGCGCAGCATTATAACTCTGCTAGCCAGAGATGAAGGGTAGATTTTTAGGCATTTATACCCTGCACTCGATCTTAAAATTTGTTGACGACGTTTGTTTAGCATCTCTTTTTCAGGTGCTTTGCATAATGACCTGTCTAAGAGAGCTGGTTCCCTTTGCATCATTTAATGTTTGATTTGCCTTTTTACATATAAATGAAGGAAAAAATATATAAATTACACACAAGATACACAATTTGAAAAAAAGAATTTCAAAAGGCGAGCAAGTCTGAAGAAACCATGAAGGCTTATAGGTGAGACTTCCTCCTCACATACGATATAGTAGTTACTTTGGTTAGAAAAACCATTTTTCAGTCTCTTGATTGTTTGTACGTCTATTTTGATTTTAGTTTCATGTGCAGGCTACAGACTGCTGGCTGCTAGTGATTGCTACTTCTGACTGCTGATGATCGCTCATGTAGCAGATGAAATAATCACATTGTCAGGATGTAATTTAACCGGCGTTGCAAGTGATCAAAACCGAATAATTCAGATGATTTACTTTCTTTAAAAGGTAGCAGTGATCAGTATACAGTCCTCTCTTGATTATATCTATCAATAACAAAATCATAAGTAGTCACATTGTAAAAGGAGCCTACTCAAGGGGTTTAAGGCCTGGGTCAAAGGTGTGTTCTGAGAATATGAATGATTGGCAATATCTCTCACTAGGAGACCTAAAACAAAATGAATTTTCCTCTAAAAGTAAATCTTGAGGTTTTCTTGTGCCTTGTTTGGATAAACAAATTAGCATTTCTGAAAGAGGATAAACATACCTAACTTTCTACGTTTGGAATGAATGTACGCGAAGTTTAAAATTAAAGTTTTCAATAATTTAAGATTAAATTTGGGATTTTAAAATGATTTTTTATTGAAGGGCAATGGACGGTCATTCGAAACGTTAAGTGTTAGAAATATTTAATATGAATCAGAAAAATGTTATTTCTCGATTTCTTTTATTAAACCGGCCACCAACTGAGTAATAATTTACGATTTTTAGCAAAATCTTCACGTGACATATCACGTGACTTATAAACACAATGTTTATAATTTAAAATGTGAAGGGCGATGAGTTCTTTATGTGCGCCAAATTTTGATATAGCGCTATCAACTGTGCCGAAGTTATAGCCAATAATTCATTTTCTACGGGTAAACCCCTTAGTCCGAGGCCTTAAACTACTTGAGTAACTGGATTCGAGAGAACCGGATGTCAAAACAAATGTCATTCCACAAGGTAGTAGCAGAGGAGAAAAAATCCTTTAAAACGCTCAGTGCGGCTAGCGAGAAGAGATGACGTTCGTTATAAGGAGTAATTTGTTTTTTCACTAACTTGTAATGGTAATAAATCAACTATTGTAAATAACAGGCACAAAGATTATTAACGATCTTAAAATATTACAGCAATTTATGAATGGCTCTTCTTCAACGGACGTACCAGATATCTGTGCGTATTCGTAGAGAGTAAATGTTACTTTCTTAAAATGAGTGACTGCATGTTGCTTCTCAACATTCAATGTCAGCAATGATTCCAAGTTCAGGTTAATGCCTGGAACCCCGGATATGAAGATAGGCCTGTAATAGACAAGGAGCGTGATTCAGTACTTCTTCCTAGTGAGTATTCCTATTTGTTCCTTAGTCCGCAAAGCGAACGGCGCTTTTTGGGGTTACCTGGTTCAACGTGGTCCACATAAAACATTTCTCCTCCATGATCAGCAAATCCCCTCTTCGCGGCAGAATTCTGTATAACTATCCTTTGCAATTTCCTCTGACTGCAGTTCAAGTTCAACTTAAGTTTACAATTTTCCTGTGTGTACGACTGCACTTTTTTGCCAAAAAATACTTGATTTCAATGGCCATAGTCTATGGCGGATCCAGGGGAGGTCACCCCTTATTTTTGGACCAAATTGAGGCCCGAAGGGCCGAAGAAATTTTTTTTGATACCGGGCACCCCCTTATCTCAGCCAGCCTCTGGATGACAGCCCCCCTTATCTGAAGGTCTGGATCCGCCACTGATATAGTCTGCTACACAGCCGTTTTTAGTGTCGTCACGCAACGCTCCTCCCCACTAACGATTGCTTGTCTTCACGCGACGATTTTGATTATTCTGTCATTCACAGCTTGGGCAACGATAAAAGCAAAGCTGTGATTGGAGGAGTCACAGTACCGCAAAGGTGGCGCGAACAATTTCCAGAAAATGGGAGCTGAATTATAATTGGCTAATCACGGGAAAGGAATGTAGTTCGGTTTTCAGCAGCCGTTAGTGGGGAGGAGCGTTGCGTGACGACACTAAAAACGGCTGTGTAGCAGACTACCACTGATAGTGCCTAGTTAGAGTGGAACTGACTTCCCCAATCGGACACTATTTTGATCTCTGTTACGCGCAAACGTGGGTATGTCATTTCCTCCAACACTGCACTGCATGAAAAGACCAGCTAAGTGGGTTGTGGTGTCGCATTTTAAAAGTAAAAAACTGGCATGATCCTACGAGTCTACTGAGGTCTATTGCTACAGAATATTATTTCTTTTATTTCCCAAAAAATAGGTACATTTGAGCAATTGTGTCAAATACTGAGATAATCAAGGATCGTGAAAGGACAGAAATTTCATTCCCATTTTAGATGTTGTTCATCCCTTTCAGTTCCCAGTGGCTAAATCCCAGCCCTTAAGTGCAATAAATCCCATTTTTCTAGTACATAAAAAGTCAAACCCCGGTTCTTTTTTACCCCTCAGGGCCCTCAAAGAAATGCTTTTAAGGTCATCCAAAAACTTGCAGTGCCTATCTATTAGACGTAAAACACGCGCGTACGCCTCGCGTTTTAATTAAACAGTCATGTAACCGGAGTAGCCAAAAGCTAAACATTCCTCTTTTCAGAAGAACCTCCGAATAGAGAACTTTTTATTACGGGATCATTAAGCTTTGGAACAATTGAAAACCTTCTCTTAAATTAAGCCAATCTGTTCGCATTTTTAAACGTCTCTTAAGGAACCAGCTTTTAGTAATTTTGTAAATGTCTCTTAGTTAAATTTAAAAAGTATTGTAATTGCCAACGAGGCAACCGAGCTAAGAAGCGAGGTTGACTCGGTGGCAAATTATAACGCCGCGCAATGTAAGCAAAAACTCTCAAATTCTGCGTAACCCTCTAAAATTTGCATTTTTGACCATATTTGGGTGTAAGTAAGACCCCATATTTGGGTAGTGACGTCATGGTCTTGTATTTACAACTCGTGGTCCGACATTGGGTGATTCAGTGTGCAGCTGTTCGTTGTTTGTGCAAGAGGACCTATTACTAACAGGTGAGCAAGCTTTAATACGATTTCTAGTTTGAAAGGGCAATTAGTGCTCTGGTTTGGTTTATAAATTGCGTTTAAAGCAGCAGCTTTAAATTTTGCGGACCTTTTATTTTAAAATTTATTCGAGAGATTTTGTCAACCAGCATGTTTTTTTTTGCTGCTCGATTTACATTGAGACAGCCCAAAACTCCCGTGAGGAATGCAACGAATTTGCGGACCTTTTTATTTTGAACACTATCATTATGCCTTTCAAGACACTCTTTGTCCTGTGACACTCGCTCATTAGATCTTTGTTTTTTATTCAAGTTTATATTTTTATACCTCTGATACATTCCGCCCCATTCTTGCGCTTTTCACACATTTTACTTTACACCAGTTGTTTCTTACGTATATTACCACGCGAAACATTTTTCTTATCCCTGATGACGCTGTTGCTCGCAAGTTAATTATTGTTTATAATTTCAGCAGTCAAAGGCCTCATTTGAACTATCTTTTTCTTTCTAACGTTTATAGTTTTGGTGCAATTGAATTTTCCATGAAACATAAGTACTAACTTGCTCATATTTACCAACAAAGCTTCAAGCCATGTTGTTATTGTTTAATAATTAAAAAGTGAAAGCCTAAAGATACGATGTGCCAAAGTTGTTTGCCATCCTTTTCCGATAGCGGAATCCATTTTAAACCTCTAAAATTATGAAGAAAAATATCTCGAAGATCTGGATAGGCACATTTCACAAAAGATAAACGAATTCGCCTCGTTGGCACTTGCCGGAAGGTACCCCTAGTTAGTAATTAGTTAAGCATTGTTGTTAGTACTAAGGCCCCGTCCACACGAAGACGATTGTAAACGCAAACGCTAGTAAACGCATATTTTTATCTCCGTCCACACGAAAACGATCATCGTTTACGTAGCGTTTTAACCCGTCCACACGAAAACGCTCGTAAACGCATAAAACGATGTCATACACCGAATGTATGGTCTCAGTTCTTCAGCTAGATTATATAGCGAGTCTCTGCTCATTCGAAAGTTCTCTTTCCACTCTTCTGGTATCAGCACTTGATCGGCAAAGTTGTTCCACCAGGC